AACTGAGGTCACCAGACATTTTGGCACAAAGTCAAAGATTTGTTTGGCTCATCTGACAGTCACTCGTTCTCTAACACACACACTCCTCACTCACATCACTTACCACTTTTGTCACCTTGTGTGCATGAGAGCAATTATTTGGACTGGAAACTGAAGTGCACTTCATCAGTGCATTTTCAGTTTTTGGATAAAGACCTGCAGTTTGATGCCTGATTGTGTCAATGAGTGTAACGGGAGTAAGAGAAAAATTGTCATAAAAGGAAGAATTCAAATTCTTGGCTCCCCCAAAATAATATTTCAAATGCTGTCTTTAATATTTTTAATTAAATTTATGGTCTAAATTCCATTTTTATTAATAGCTTTACACAGCATCCAACTTTTTCAGATACTAGGCTGTGTTTCTAGGCTTGTCTGAGTCCGAGCACAAAATCCAGACACCGTCCCTGGCAAACTAGGACATCTTGTCATCATAGATTACATGGAAAATTCATCTAGTGGTATGACAAGGCTTTTCCACCATCAAGGAATATTATTTGTTAAACCCCTCAAACCAGGATTGCTGTACAGCAAATTTTCTTCCAAACAATGAGAATACTGGTGTTTTTTTATCATTATTATTCATTTCAAACCATTTAAACCTCCTATAGGAAAGTAAATAGCGCTCTTCTACAAATGCAGACAGAAGCTTTTAATCTGAAAAGGTAACGTAATAAATGCAAAGACCTGAGATTTTGCTTCCCCGGATGTCTTTCAAATCTTTAAGCTCCCTCCTCCCCTTTATCTAAATCCCAGCTCACGACTGAACAGATTTAATAGGTGAAATCAATCAAAGAACAGAGCCTGGATTCTCCTGATCAGCCCATTTCGGTAAGAGACCATGGGGATGTAATATATTTACAGCTTTGAACACTACAGAAAGACACAGTCAGAGAAAGAGATGAAAAAGAGAGACAGATGAATTGGTATCAGATCTCTGTAAGCCCAGGATTCTGCACACTAGAGCCTGTACAGATTAGCTAACACTGCAGCTGCTGCAGCAAGAGTGTGTGTTTGAGGGTGTGTGTGTACATGTGTGTGTATGTGTGCCTGTCTAGCAGTGCACATTACTAGGGAGCATGGTCTGTGTCTTTTCTCTCCATGCAGCTATCAGAAGAGCAGAACTGTGGCTGTGAGCGTGTGTGACTATCCTCAGTGCGACTGCTATCAGATACATATTCAAGCTAAGCTCCAGGCAAGACTCACTCTCTTGCATCAAATCTGTTGCAGTGATATGGGCCACTAAGCACCATAAATCTGTTTAACTTTCACTTGGTTATCTCAGCTCAGTTTGTCCTAAGACATTTTTGTTTACTTTAATCACACAGGGTTTTACGTCTTCTTTGTACTGTACAGAGACAAACATCATAGTCACACTAGGTGCACCACTGTTTGTGGTTTGCTGGCATTTCCATCTGTGATGCAAACCGAAATCACTGATCATTCAGGTTTTACGAGTTTTGCAGACAAAATCTTCCAGTAGAAAAGTACGAGCTTTGCATTGCATCATAAATGTATTATCTTTCACACATTTCTTTGTGTTATCTTTGTATGTATACAGCTGTAACTAAGGATTGTTTTGGTTGCCAACTAATCTGTCATTTTTCTTTGATTAGTCAACAATTACTTCAATAACTCTTACCTCAGCTTCCTGCGGGCAAACTTTCTGTTCTTGGCTCCAGTACCTCAACTGCTTACGTCTGCGCGCCTGTGAATATCACCCACTTAACAGAAAATTTAAATAATGACCCAAGAAACATGATTTTGAAAATAATTTTAAAAAATGTAACATTACTCAATAGGACCGTCAGAATAAAATATAAATAAATAAAAATATCAAGTAATACAAATGAAAGTTTTAATGGTAAAGAGAGGAAGTGGCGTTAGATTTGCGCGTGCGTGGTACCGATCGGGTTTCCGGTACGGATCAGGTAGCAACAGTGACATTCTGTTTTGCGTTCACACTGCATTCTTCTTTTTTAGCACTAAGTGTAGCCTTGGCAGACGATAGAGGCCATATTGCCGTCATAGCTTCCTGTAGTGTATTGCAGTTACAAAAACACATTTATGTGGTATTCAAATCAAATCAAAATTTATATATATTAGTGTATGACGCGTCGACAATTTTTTACAGTCAATTATTTTTACAATCTTTGCAGCCGTAGTCATCTAATCATTTTAGATGAAAAATAAACAATCTTAAGTAAGACTGAACAATGTGTAACCTCTACAGATAGTAGTTCATACTTTAAACGACTGCATGTTACAAAAATTTTAATGGCTTTGTCTTAGATATTGTCTGCTAAGTTGAGTATGCAGACTTTTCCTCATTTTCCACCCTTTGCCTGTCGCTCATTAGCATTGCACATACATCTCTGCTGTGCTCATTAACAGAAAACCTGTTCTAGAGTCTAAGTGAAATACGAGAAAAAACAGTTTGCATCCATCTGAGCAATGAAAAAAGAAGGTGGCTCTTAAGTGTTGAACTTGTCCTCCTCTAAGTGGATTTTCTTATTTATTATTTTTCTTCACACAAGGGCATACAGGACAAGCTTTCCTTCCCCCAGAAACTACCATTTTTGTTTTTTTCTTCATTCAGCTGCTCAGGACAAATGCAAATCTCTATTGCTCGAAGCTGGAGCACCTATAGCGTATGGGAGATTACCTCCTCAGTAGGACAGCTATTGGTATGATGCCACAATTCCAAGGCCACTCCTTTACAACACCTGGTCATTGGGAATACATTTTACCATTGGGTTATTATTCATTTTTTTCACTCAACACAGAATTACATATTAAAAGATTAGCAAAGATAACTGTTTTCCACTAATTAAAAATGGCATATAATTAAAAGAGTGCCTTGCTTTTGGACAATATTAAAAGGTGAATTTGATTTCCACTTTTCTAAATCTTGCCATTGTTTAAAATTCCTTTTATATATTTCAACACGTATTGACGCATTCTATCAAATGGATAACAGTGATTTGCACATTAACATACCAGTCTGCAGCCAGCCGCTGGACTCCTTACATCATTTACCACATCTGTACCAATGTTAGTCCAGTGTGGCCAAACATAGTCTAATCCTTTTTTGGGAAAGTTCCCCTTGTTGCTAACTGACCAAAACTATGTTGGCTGTGTCAACATGTTGTAAACAGAAAGTGGTTTACACAGGGTGCGAGCAAAGGAAAGGAGAAAGAAAGAAAAAGACATGTTTCAGAGACAGTCAAGAAGTACTTCTAGATACTCCATCACTTTGATTACTTGAGAATCTTCGCAGAAAAAAAAAAGATATGGGAATTGTACAGAGGGAGACGGAACAGAATTCCAGCCAAGAATCCATAAGCTGTGTGATTATATTGTAGCAGATTTATTGGTGGATCTCACTGCAAGCTCACATCTCTCTTCATCACAATGAAAAAAAAAAGGATCAAGTGAGGTACAAGCAGGTGATACTGTAGATCATGATTAATCCTCTGGGAATCATGAATCCTAGTGAAAGCTTGTCAAGGCAATAGCTGTTACATTTTACTTGAAATCACAAAAGTCAGCCTCATATTAGGATAAAACATAAATTCATCCTGATTATCGCCATTGTCTTAACAAATAATTAATTGCAATTAGACTGTGATTAAATATGTAAGTGTGGAAAAAGTGCTAGATAGACCAACTGGCAATATCTAGAATCAAATCAGAGCTAGCTAAGGTCTGGGTCATATACTCAGCAACTTCCTGGCAACCTGTTGTGTAGGAAAAATGCATATTCCCTGACTGGTTGGTAAGTGGTTGCTGGAGGTTGCTGGCTGTTGCTGGGCAAAACTTGTCACAATGAGGGCACTGCACCAAAAATATCCTTGTGATTTCTTTCCTTGTTAGCAGACTGCAGAAGTTACTATACTTTGTATAGAAGACGCACACTCACCAACTGCTGGCTGGACTGGATTTAAACCTGAATGGGAAAAAATGCTAAGGAAACAAGAAATGAAGAAAAATGACCTTTAAAATTTCTCCCTACTGCAACAAACATTTGCTAACCGAGGTACTATGGAGGTACGTGTCTCCATGGTTCACCATGGGGGTCACTGACAGGTCTCTAGGCCTGTGTGACTCAGGCCTAAGGTAACTTAAGACAGCTCAAAACCAACACTTTTTTATTATGGTTCATACATTTGCACAATCACATTTGTCATCATTACTATTATTGTTAGACACGTTAAAGATGAGTGCATGTAATAGTTATATTATGAATGAAGATAGTGAGACACTGGATTAAGAGATACAGGAAATTTAGTAAGGATGAGGATAAGAAGGAGGTAGCAGAACAGTGCACTTTTATCTTTCACAACATTATTTTGTGGTCCTGCAGTTTGTTTCAAGTATATTTGTCAAGTTTTGTCCTTGTTTTTTGCAATGTGAGCTCTTGTTAGCACTCTCCTTTCACCTTTTCTCACTGTCCTCCATTCATTTCTCTATGGTCCTTTATTTGTGAACTTTTCTTCTATACATCCATTGATCTCTTGCTCTCTCCCCTTCCCTCTATACTCTTCACTTTCTCTGTGTGCACCGCAATAAGTGGCACACAAAAAGGGAGAGAGAGAGATGGAAAGAGAAACTCATCAAAGCGTGAAATAGTCTGAGCTTTTACTACAACTGGCAGCATTTGACCACATACTGCACCAGCCATTATTGTGGTTACCCGCAGCAACACTGCGCTAAGAGAACGGCATGCTGAGAAAAAAGAAGTGGAAGAAAAAAAGAACACATACAGATGGTGTGTTCTGCATATGGAGCAGGTGTTAATGGACAAATTAAAAACATGCATGATCTCGCTTTTGCTCTCTCTCTCTAGCACACACACACACACACACACACACACACACACACACACACACACACACACACACACAC